TTGGGTCGGCGCAAAGCAGAACAACGTTCATATCAGTCGCGATGGCTTAAAACTGTTGCGGCTTGTAAGCTAACAGAACAGAGACACTAGGGCGTTCGTCTTATAAATATTTTAATAAACATTAAACCTACATTTTGTCTGGAGAATTTTAATAAGGGCTGCAAAATATTATATTTGCGTTTTGTTAAGGACAGTACTCAATAAACTATATATCTGAATTCCTTATTAGATATAGAAATTTGATATAAGCTCTATGTTAATTATTCTAAATAATAAATAAATACGTTGGGACATTAACACACAGCGCCATCTAGTCCCATGGTAAGCTACGAGGCTTGTGTTATGGATACCAGATAGTTGATACACTACACATATATAACTTTAAATACATACATATTATAAATATAAACACCCATGACTGGAGTAAATCAAACAAATGAATGCCCCCAGCGGGACTCGAACCCGCGACCGCTGGCACAGAAAGTAGGGTCACTACAAACTGAGCCAAACGTGTCGTCATAAATGACTATCAATAGTACGGAAAATACAGCTAGATAGGTTATTGGAAACAACCAATATATTCTTACTAATATTATAGATGCAATCATTTCTTTGTTGGTTTTCATGTGCTTCTTTTTCTGGTTATTAAATAATAACTATGTATTGAAGAAGGTTTGGGCTTTTTTTTAATAGAAAAAAGGGGCAAACGAGCAAACGATCCACCTGATGGTAAGTGGCTATCGCCGCTCATAGACAGCTGCAACACACGAGGAGTTGCGAATGCGTTGCCGGCCTTTAAGGGACCTGAAGACACGGCTCTTGAAAACCCCATGTTATAGCGCTCAGGGAAAACCTCAGGAGGAAGATTCCACATTTTAAGAATAAGTCATGTATTCGGCCCCTTTTAACGTCTCAATGCTGGACACAGACGTTTCTTCGATACTACTTTTCTTAATTAATAAATCTATTTCAATTATTTGATGTGTTTACACTATTGTCTGTATATTTGACATATTATATTAGTAATAATAATACAATAATACTAATCTTTTTCCACTCCACGGCTTCTATGTTCGGCTTAAGCGCACTCAAAGTAATCCGTGCGTGCATTTATAAACGGAGTTCTGTACACCTGAGTGAAATGAGATGGATGCAGGAAATCGCGAGTAACATATGCGTTGACTGTACTTTTCTACATTAGTCATTTTGTTTGAAACGTTGAATTCTCCATACTCTCTAAGCGAATACCTGTAGGTAGTTGTGTTTGAGAATATGTTTAAAGAGGTCTTGTAAGAAGCTATTGTTAAGATGTACACTGGTATTACGTTTGACGAAAATGTCATGTAAAATGTTCATATTAAGCTTCTCATTTAAAAAGTACGTTACGGTTGGTAATTGTATGACGGATAGTGATTTCGTTTTTATAATACGTGTAGTGTCGTTAAAATAAAAAGATTATATTGCTAGATTTAAAAAAATAGCAAAAAGTATTTAATTAAATCATTTATAGATTTAATAACATAAAATACTTTAGGAATCTGATCAGTCGGCTTCAGTAAGGTAGGTAGGAGTAATTTTACATACGTATGTATGTATTTTTGATATGTAAATGTATTTATAGGATTTTCAAAAAAAAAACTGTTATCATTATTATTGTATTATTTTTGTTTTTCTAAAAACTATATTGTTCACACCCTTTCCCTTTTACAGTTTGTCAATTCCAACACCTTAAGGTTGCCTGGGAGAGATTGCTGATAGCGATTAGGCCGCCTCTTGTATCTACATAGTCCTATATCTATTTTTCTTGTACTATTTTTTCTTACTTTGTGTAGGTAAAATACAGAATATATATTATTAATAATTATTATTCTCTGGTCAATATTAGTTCAAGCCTCAAATGGGGAGATTGACCAGAGATGCTGCGGAAGGTCAGCTGTCAGAGCGTCGTGATGAAAGAAATCCTGCGGCGTACTTATTAGGATGGAGAAGGCTTCGTTGGATAATAGTGGCTTTTCTAACTGGTAACTCACAACCTTGTTGTCCAATATCTTGTTATCTGATAATGTTTAAATGCAATAAATATGTGTCAAATTAGTTCTAAACCACTTTCTACAAAACAGTTTTTAAACAAAACACAAAAGCTAAGAAGTATTTGATATAAAAAATATAAACTTTAAAAACTTAACATATCGTATTGTGATTTTTCTATTAACTTTCTTATAACATTGAAGACTGAAGAAAATGTATATTTTAATTTTTGCAAAACTATGAAAAAAATAATTAACAGTAATATATACATTTTTAATTCTATTTAAAATAATATATTTTTATATTTATATTTGCAATGTATGAAATAAACTTTACAAAGTTATTTTTTACAGTATTTGCATATAGCGGGAAATGCAAACATAAAAACTTTTGTAACTTTTATTATACCAGTTACGCCATCTAGTTGAAATAATTTCTCAAACAATTCGCAGTACATCTAAATTTGTAATTCTAATACTCTTGCATAGATGGCGCACTTTATAATTTAATATAAAAATAACTATTAAATAATAAATTTTATTAAAATTACCTTGAATTTATTTTATATCAGTATTTTGTTAATTTTAAATCTATTAAGAAATCAGTAAAAAAAATTTTTTAATGAATTCATAACAATACAACGATACGTTCATTTATTGATAATCAGAATTTGATATCGACAGACCCGGACGGACAGACGGCGTTGACGGGTCCCCATTCAAGAACGGATTGTTAATTATTGTTATGTGAATAAACGGAAATTGGAAATTCTAATGAATAATTAATATATTTCTATGTGTTTTATTCGTTAATACGGTTATAATGTATACAAGGAGTACTTGTGCTTATATAAAAATAACATTGAATAAAATAGCAACACTGTCTTTCTCATATTTTCAACCGACTTCTTCAAAAAGGAGGAGGTTCTCAATTCGGCTGTGTTTTTTTATATGTTTGTTACCTCAGAACTCCGCCATTTATTAACCGATTTGTTTTGTTTTGTTTGAAAGTGTATACATCCCGATTGGTACCACTTAAATTAAAAAAAAATACCACCCCTAAGGATGGAAAAATAGCTAATGATGAATTTAACCTACTTCTAATTATTGTCATATTGACTTGAAACTTTGCAAGTGTTTCTATTTCCGTTGATAGTACAGTGGTTCGGTATGTATCGTCAACCTGATCTGACGGTAAGGCCAGAAGGTGGATAGGTGGAACTCTTCAACGGCTAATAGTAGATATTTTGAGTTTGGGCTTATTTTGCTTGATTTGATAAGCCTAATACATTGGAATCGGAATTTAGAGCCAGGGTTTTAGTGTTACTAAAAATAGCGAATTTTAGTTTGACAGTCTTCATATAAAAATTGGTATCAAACTAACTTAAGCGGCTTAAGCGAATATTTTATTAAAATGTTTTCCTTTTATTTTGCTACTACTATATCTTCACAAAAAAAACCGACTTGAAAAAAATACTAAAAAGTAAAAAATAACTGATTGGTAGTTTTCATTTACTATAGATACCTAATCAAAATATATTTTCGAAGTCGGTGCCAGTCGATACAAATCAAAGCACCGACTTCGAAAATATCTGATTAGATATCTATAGTAAATGAAAACTACCAATGAGTTATTTTTTACTTTTTAGTGTTTGTTTTGAAGTCGGTTTTATTTTTTTTTCTTAAAAAGTTTTTATACCATTAATTATATAGATATTTTTATTAGATATTTTTAGACATTCTGACACACTAGTTTATGCAAGTGTTTCTCTAAGCATCCAAAAAATTAACTCAGAAAAAAAAAGTTTATATAGGTACTATTGAATCGCTAAAAGTTTTCATAGTTCCCAATAACATTACAAATATCTAACAATAAGTTGTATTTATAATGAAATATAATTTTGGCATATACCTAAATGTTTCAAAATCTTAAATATTTACTGCTTCGTTGTTTCTTATCAAATTCATAAAACTGTATCTTAATCATAATGAGAAAACCAATATTTTTTAGAAAATTTAAGACCAAAATAACAAAAAAAGAAGGTCTCGTATAGCTTGCTACACTAAAACACACTTCCTTCCACCACTTGCGAATTTACAATTATATTTTAAGTTTGGCCCTTAATTAAAATCACAAATAAATAGACATATTATACTGAAACAAAGAAATTTACTTCCATATTGTATACATTTTTGTTTCGCCACATTTTCAGTCGAGGTCAGGACTGCTAAGGAGCGTGCACTTATTTTATAAAAGTTCGCCAGTCCACGGCTGCCTTATTTTCTCGCTAACAATGCCCTGACGTTGACTGATCGCTCGCTCAAGACTATACCGGTCTCAACTGCTCAGGGTATAGAAACTGCTGGTAATTTATTAGCCCCCTTATTGTGCTTCTCTAAATAATTTTAAGTTGAATGTTGATAAAATTATATTAACATTGTTACTTAACTACTGGAGTTTTATACAGACTATATCTATACTATAATAAAAGAGTAGAGGTCGAATGTAGCAAATGTAGCAAAAAAATGCTAAAAACCGAGTCAAGGGGATGTAAGAAGACAAATAGGACAAATCCAGATATTTTTCAATTTTTTTGTTTCTCTGTCTGTCTGTTTGTCTGTTTGTACGGGCTAATCTTCGAATCTATTGGACCGATTTAAATGAAAGGAGGAGGGTTGATAAAGGCCATTTTTCGCCCATCAGCCGCTCGATTTGAAATTTATTTTATTTAATAGTATATCTCATGGCAAGTGTAGAAAACAATTATTTTTAATGAAACTTCTTTAATTAATGGGATAAATAAAACAAATAATTATAAGGTTATTATGAACATTTATTAATATAACCATTGCTACTGTACATTCTAACACAAAAAATGAGTTGTAAATGCAAGATTACAATGAAAAAGGTTTATTTTTACTATTATTGCAATATTTGAAATATGAAAAATAATCAATAATCAGAAATAATTAGAAAGTTTCAGGCACATTGAGCATGTATGTTTTTTTAGTTTTCCTTATTGGTTTCTTCATCTGAATCACTACTGGACCATCCTTCAGCGGCAGCGTCTTGTAGTGTATAGGCATATTCATCTCTTGGTTTCTTGATTTCGGTTGAATTGTGGCGCCAATAACCTAAAAACCATAATACAGAGGCAACATGTGCGCAACACCCTACGACTCTTGCACCCACTTTACATTGACAGTACCATTGAATGTTTGTGATGTTGCTTTTATCTGTTTTTATCCAAACATTATAGTTTTTGGAACTTGTGTGCCGTGATCGTAACTGTACTCTAACAACAGAATCATTTTCACGATGTATGTAAAAAGAATAAAAACCTTCTTCATTTAAATGCTCTTGAGTGTACGATTGGCTTTGTTTAAGTTGATATATGCCAAGTGTTAATTGTCGCAACTCATCCCAAGTTAGACGTGGAAAATCTTGAAGATCTCTATCAGTTAGCTTGGTCCACATTGCTTTTTTTCTGGCCCATCCTTTTTCTTCGATTATCTGCTGTAAGTGGTTTGGGTTTTTAGCCAAATCAAGCATTCGTTGAGCGATTATTTCATCATCTTCAGTGTTTTTAATTCTTGTAGGATGAAATGCGTTGAGGATAGCACATACAATTCGCACGTAGTCGCCAATATAAGGTATTTGCGTGTTTGGCATTACTTTATCTAATGCTCTCCAGTTTTTCAACTGCCCGTTAACAGCTTCAACGACCCATCTAACTTTGGTTACAAGACGCGTCATGTTAGCCTCCTCTGTTGAAAACTGTTGCTGCTTGTTTAGAAATCTAGGCATTTCAGGTACGAGGCCCATTTCTTCCAGGAGTTCCAAACAATCACGAAAGCCTCTATCAACAATTATTACATCATTTTGCTTCAGCCACTCTGTGATATTGTGTGCATCTTTTTTTAAAACATGTGTGAATATGTTCGCATCATTGTTCTTTGAATCAGCCAAATAAGGTCCAAAGACGTCAAGAATGTAACCTGAAGTAGTGACTAACATCATAGGTTTAACCAAAGGTCTTCCTTTGTGTAATGAAAAAGATCGTCTCTGAAAGGAATAATTCGCGCTCTTCTGTATATAAATGTACGTGCCATCAGCGACAAGTATCGTTGCATCATCGTTATCGTCGGGAATAAATAATCTTTTTGCTAAAGGTCTCGTATATTTCTCAATAACTTGTGTTCTCGTTACGTGTTTCGTTCCAAGGTGTAATGGCACAAAGTTCTCAATCAAAGCCCGGCGTACACTTTGAACAGCAGATGATATTAATCTTTTTTTCTTATTGAATAATGTGGATAGTATACCATTAGAGACACCACTTCTAAGTTTTACAAGTAATACTGCCAAGCAAGTACGAGATGACCTTGTTTTCGAGGAACGAATTTTGGGCCTTATTTGTTCAAAAATGTAATTAAAATCAGACATGGTTATGCCCATGAGAGTATAATAATCAGACTCGGAAAGCTGTCCTGGTGTGTCAAAATCAAGGCCTTTTTTTCTTTGCTACTTCTCTAATATTGTTTAAAAGACTTTTTATATCTTTTTCACACATTAATGTATTCTCACTTACAGGGCGTAAAACTTGCAAAGCCAATTCACTGAATATCAATCCGGTAATATGAGTTTTACAACATCTTTTTCCCGAAGAAATATATATTCCAGTTTCGATAAATGCTTGAGTTCGAGCTGCTTTCGGTACAGTCATGAGGTAGCTTTTACGTTTACATATTATACAGCACGTATTAGAGTTGTGACAACGAGGTATTGATAAATATATATTTGGTCTCTTCGAGTGTCGTCGGCAGTACTTGTTGAAGCATGAACTCTTGTTGTCACTATGGAAGATGAAATAGGAATATTTTGAGCTCGAACCACACGGAATGCGTATGATCTGCATTTCGAACACAACTTAGAACCACTCTGTAGATCACAATTTTTAGAATTTCTAAGTATCGATAAGATTTTTCTATTAGAACAGGTACGAAAAGCACTATTTGTTTTTTGCCACGTTTTACAACAATCACACTGTCTTCCAGGCATTATTATCTATTAAGTTTTACAACAAACAATCGCAACAACAACCGCAGAACACTATTTCGATAGCACACTACGTAAATACTGTTAGTTATAGTTGCTCAATTGACTATTATTGTTTATTATTTAAGGATCATATTGATTCTTCATAATTTGTTAGTTATAATTTTATATTTTATTGTATTAATTTGATATTGATTATTTATAATGTATTATTTACAATTTTATAATATTAATAACGATATCGGTTAGTTGTATTTGTAATATTAATGTTTTAAGAGTATTGTCATCCACCGTTGGGAAATGTTATACGTAGAAGACAGATGCCGCCACCTTACACCCAACGGTGGGGAAATGATGTATAAATAGTTGTAATTGCCATTTTGTAAGGATTCCTGTTAAGTGATCGAAGTAAAGAGGAATTGCTGAATCTCTGTAGTCTTATTTAACATTCATTACTAACAATACTTTTTGAGCGCAATATAAATCACGTATGAACTTGTTCTCGCAACGCACTGAATACTTTCGCGCGTAATATATTTTTTTCTTATTGTGTGAAGCGCACAATGAACCAAAATAAAATAGTACTCATTTACAAGCTCATAAAGAGTAGTATCAATGTGAGTCAAAGTTTTTGTGGTTCATGGAGCGCTTCATTATAAAATTATAATTTAAAGATAAAAAAAACGACAAAAATATACAAAAAAGGCGAAACACCCTGTTTTTGAACAATGATATCTGTAACTTAGTATAATATTTATCACTTAAATGATTATGAATTAAAAAATATATGTCTTCAACTATACATAAATATATAAAAATAGCCGGAAATCGAAACTTTTTTTTTTGAGATTGTGATGGGCGGAAAATGGCCCATATCAACCCTCCTCCTTTTGTATTGTTGTACCTTATATCCCCGGACATTATCTTAGAAATTTTTTATCCCAGAAAATTTAAGAGTTCCCGTAGGATAGTTAAAAAACTATAGTATCTTATACAGCTTAGTACACGGTTAGTATGTAATACATACACTTGTAACGGTTAGTATGTAATACATACACATAGACTATATAAAGCTCCCAGACGGCTTATTTTTTTCCGACACCTCAACAAATATCATTATATTTTAGCCAATGTATACAAAAACTTAACCAATTATATACTAAAACCTTTCTCGAGAACCATTTTATCCATTGGTGAAAACAGCATGAAAATCGGTGCTGTAGTTTTTGAGTTTATCGCGAACAGACAGACAGACGCAGCGGAGGACTTTGTTTTATAATATCGGCCAGAATCATTATTGAAATTTTGAGGAAAACTAACTATACCTACTCGTAACTAACTATGTGACTAACATATCCATACTAATATTATAAATGAGAAAATGTTTTTGTTTGTTTGTCTTTCTTTTACGTCGAAACGGAGAAAAAAATATATAGAAAAAGTTCTTTTTTTTTTATTCTAATGCTCGTCTACTCAATAAAATAAAACAAAATCAGTTGCCAAACAGAGGAGAAAAACTGAACTGTTTTGTCGTTACCTATTTCTATATTAAGGTTTAGTATACATTTCTTAAAAATGAGATATTAACCAGCTATCATTATGCCAAATTTCATCAAAATCTGTCTGTGGTTTTCTCGTGATGCGTTCCGAGACAGACTGACAGACAAAAATTCTAAAAACTATAAATTTGGAATCTGTATTGGATAATAATGACTATTTCAATAAGATTTTCCAAATATTTAATGTATAGATTCGACTCAGTTAAAAATTTATTTTAACCCTAATTGAGATCTATTAGTTCCCACGGGAACCGTTCATTTTTCCGGGGTGAAAAGTAACCTGTTTGTTTGACCGGCAATATAAGGTATCAGAATGTTAAAGTTTATACTAAATTAGGTGCATATGTTGTTGTGTACTAAGCTGTATAAGATACTATAGTGTTTTAACTATATAAAATTAATTACTGATCAATAGAAAGCCTTTAAGATTTCATTTATTGTGTAATTTAAGCCGTCGTCAATAAGCAATAGTACGTACTTTAAGTTTAATCCTTTTGTTTATTGTAGACAACAGACTTACTTGAAATCAAACTCACTTCCAGCATGATAAGTTAATTTAGGGGTGCTTTATTATTTGATTACTAATAATAGAAAAGTTAAAAATATATGTATTTAAATTTTCTTGTCATTAATAGCAAGGTAGTTTAATGTTTAGTTTTAACATTACTTTTTAACATTTCAAAAATACTATCTTTTCGGTTTTTTTCGCGTATTCGAAAAGTTTCGAATGATTGCTTTAACGCATTCGAGTGCTTTGCAGCAATCATTCCACACGTCGTGAACGAAAAATTAAAATAAATCTCCAAAATGATCTGAAAAGATAGTTTTATTTGAAAAGTCAAATATTCCGGTGAATTTTTATTTAAAAAAGGTACATCGACATCAGGGGTAGAATTTTTAGAATTTATTTAATACCACTCATGCTTGGGACCATTAAGAAAAGAGTTATGAAAATCGATTCACAATCGACGAAGTAACCACGAAACAAAAAAAAACAAAGAATCAAATTGAGTACTTCTCGTATTTGAAGTTGGATAATTACGATTCTTCCTGCAACCAGAGAGCATGCGATATACAATTATTTTCTATTCTACTCGTACGAAGGGGAAAATCGACACTCCCTACTTGCTCCAATGATTACTGTGATATAAGTTCTTTAGATGATAATAAAATATTAGAATATTTTCCTACTAGTGGAGAAAAATGGTACGCTATTAAAGATAGTCTCCCTCAATTTAATGTTAGACTTATTGTATGACTTCTTTCTTTTTAAATAAATAAAATGAATATTATTATATTATATTTATTATACGGCTGTATTTGCAGACATTTGGAAATTATTTATATGTTTACTCTTATGTATATAAGTTAAATTTTTTTTAACCTAATCCTAATGGAAAAAATCTGAAAAGATAGTTTTATTTAAAACTAGCAGAACGTTAAAACTACAACAAAATCTCTAAAAAGGTTGGTTTCATACTAACTTAAATCCCCTATTTTACCTCCTTTTGGGATGAATTTCGAAACATGCTAAAACTTATATTTATTTAATTATACCTATTGAAGAGCATTAATACCAAGTTTCAAGTAATTCTGATCATATAAAAATTTTTCGGTTACAACCCAAAAATAACGTGTTTTCCCGTGGGAATAAGATAATCTCCCGCGGTAAAAAGTAGCCTATGTTACTCTCCAGCCTTCCAACTACCTCCACGTGAAAGAAAGACAAATAAACAAACACACTTTCACATTTATAATATTAGTAAACGCGTCGGTATATCTCTAATTCAAGATATATTAATAGAGAGAGTAATAAAAAAGTTAAAAAAGCTCCTTTATTATATGCTGGCCTCAAAAAAATATTATCAAAAACATATACTAAAATATAAACGTGTGTCAATATTTTGAATATATTTACAATCTTACCTGCTAGTTAAAATAACAAAACTTTGCTCTACAGAAGTACTTTCTAAGCACCGCGGCAGTGGGATCAGTTCATACAAATAGCATTTTTCTGTAGCCGCAGGCAGTGGTTGCACTCTAAACGGTTTGCCCCTATCTCCCTTTACCCCTACTAAATATTTCAAGAGATATTTACCTAGAAAGCTATAGTTTTATATAGTACTAGCGACTCACCCTCGACCCGTTCGTGTTCGTGGCTAGGTACGTTTTAACGCTTATTACGGATTTCTTAGAGATAAGATATTCTCCCGCAGTAAAAAGTATCCTATATGTAGACCGAGATAACCAGCTACCATCATACCAAATTTCATCAAAATCTGTCCAGTAGTTTTCTCGTGATGTATTCTCAGACATACAGACAGACAATCAGACGAAAATTTTAAAAACTCTAGATTCGGCATCTGTATCGTTCATAATGATTATTTCAATAAGATTTCCAAAAAATATTTAATGTACAGATTCGACTTAGTTACAATTTTATTATATGTACCTATAGATAACATAATAGATACCAATGGGAAACAAGAAACTATTTAAATAAGTAAATTAACTTTTAGGATAAATCACACCTTCAGATAAGTTATTTATAGAAAAAAAAAAATACAAATTGAACAAATAAAATAGATAAAGAATTTTTAATTCTGTAACTGTCATCAATGTTTTTTTTTATATTTAATACTTAATCAATATTTTTTTCAGCTTATTTCTGCACTGTAGATGCAGAGCATGGATGAATGCCTCCCCCATAAATTTTAATATTTTTATTACTTTTCTGAAAAGGCTTTACAATATAAATGCATAAATAATAACAACTTAATAAAATTATAATATCCATCTCTAACCAGATATTTTAAGACGACGTTTTGTTCATAGAAAATGAAAACAAGTGATAGGGGCACAGCAATAGTTGAATGGAACTTTTCAATCGTAAGATAAGAGGCTTGTGGAGACATTGCGATATTTATTTACCGCACCGACAAAGAAATTTACTCGCTTTGTAGACAAATAACTCGATATTCATTATTCAATCGTTCCCCGCGAGCCGTACTTAATGAGCTTATCAATTTTGTGGCGTTTTGCTTTGTACACTTATTTTATCTTAGGCTAGCAGCGAGATGTTTTTAGAACTTTCGTGGCCAACGCTACATCATAAAGTTAGTTTTCTACGCAATCAAGGTAATTACCTGAGTAAGTCTAGTCGTTAGTACTAAGGGAAACTTTATGCAGAATGTCGGAAAATACAAGGAACCGTGTGCGGTCTTGGAAAATGCTAGGCGATGTAATATTTTAATGATGCAAAAGATGTTCAAGAAACTCAAAGCAAAGTTAACTCTAAGAA